GGCTGGCGCTCAGTAAGTTGTAGCTGAGTCCTTCTGCAATTAAGACTTTCGATATTTGCAGCATAACGTTAGTCTCTCGTGACTGAAGCTGAACTATCCCTTGTCGCCCTGTGCGCAGGTTCTGATTGTTGGCGACTGTGATGACGACTTCGCGCTGCAGTTGGTGTTTCTGTTGAACGAAGCGACCCGAGGAGCACATGTGCTGTCCGCAGCAGCTGTCCAAGAACCAGGTGTCTTTTCCGGACGGCTCGCTCTAGGCGATGGCTGCGTATGTCGAGTTCGGCTCCAAAGATTCGCGTCGAGGAGTACTTTTGTCGAGTAGTTCTTCTGGTGAGTAGTGTGGTTGTGATTCGGTGACGCAGGAGTCTGTTATCTTTGTCATGCAACTGACGATATTTCTTGTTCCTTGTGCAGGTTGCGTCGTTGATGTCGTTGAAGACTGCGTTTGATTGGTGGGATGCGCCTGTGTGGAGGCCACCTGACTGCGGGAAGGTCGAAGTTGACGGTGCGGTGCCGTTGACTGCTGTCGATTTGGGCAGTGTGTGCGAGGGTGACCTGACGTTTTGCAGAGATGACAGAACGGAGGTACGAGATGTTGTGCTTGATACTTGTTCTGTCGGTTGTTGTTGTTGTTGTTGTTGTTGTTGTTGTTGTTGTTGTTGTTGTTGTTGTAGCGTCGTTGAGTATGAAACGCGAACTCGGATGCTGATGCTCGTTTCGTGTGACGTTCTTCATGCAGGTCCATGTCCTGCTGTTCAGCGTGGATTTTGACACAGAGTGCCGCTCCGGAGATCTTCCTGTGAGCTCGGAGAATAGCTCGAGTGGAGCGCCAGTGAGGACCGAGGCCTGTGATGACTACTGTGACGAAGGCTTCTTCGGAGATTGATCCGCCGCATCGAAGGAGTCTGTCGCGTAGTCCGCGACATCGGCTAACATACGCCATTCCCTTTTCGCCGGGTTTCATTTCCACTGTTGTCAGCTGTGCCATTAAATAACTCTGATTAACACCGTCTGTTGCTTGATACAGGTTCTTCAAGTGGCTATATGCGAGCTCGGCGGAGTTGCCGTATCCACGATAAGACCTGATGTTCTGGTGCTCATTCGGCGTTATGTTTCGTAGCATGATTGTGTACGCCATCAGTGACTGATATTTATAATGCTGCTTGTTGTACCGTGTTCCGTACGTTGGGTATGGCAGGGAACCGTCGAAGAATCCGAGGATTTGCGCGCCTTCCATCATCAGTTCGAACTCGAATGACCAGGTATAGAAGTCTTTGCCGTAGAATGGTCTTGATGTTTGTAGTTTTAGAACGTGCGCGAACTGCGATTGTACTTGAAGTGCCTCCAGTGTCTTCTCTTGTCCAGGTGAAGGCTACTGATGCGGCATGAAGCTGATGGAGTGGCGTTGAGGCTCGTACGGAGTGAAGGTGGGTTGTTGCTGATTTCCGCGCGCATAGGATGAGCCATCAAGACTCATGGGTGTGACACCGTTGTTGTTGTTGCTATTGTTTGACTGCGCATGTGCTGCTTGCTGGTGTTGTTCGTAGAAGGACATGAAGGAGAAGAATTACTCCATCATGTTTGGGTCGAAGCCTGTTGCCTCGTTCGCAGGAGTTTCAGTAGATTCAGCAGCTGGTTTTGTTGCTGTGCCTCTCTCTGTCTGTAGACCAGAGGCTGGAGGTGGAGTAGGAGTAGTGCCGGGAGAGCCGTTAGAGGAGCTTCTCTCCTTCTGTGTTGCCATGTCTTCTAATGTTGTGGGAGTTTCAACGAAGTAAAGTTTTGCCTTGTCTGCTCTCATACCATGTTGGGCTGAGAAAAGCCCTTAGGATCTTTCAAGGCTAAAACTCTCAATAGGAATGTTGTATTGCGGAAGCGTTTCAATGACTAAGTGTTGAACCACCTTGCGCTAGTATGTAAGGGCAAGATAGATTGATTATAGCAAAGGAATACAAGTTTTTTTTAAGATTACAAGGAATATGAAAGGATGCAATAACCGTTTTTACTGTTGCTTGTTGCGGTTCGATACAGTGACGACTCGAGCAACTGCTCAATCTCGAGTCAGTTGTTTGTCCTTGCTGTCGCGCTGTATTTGTCGAGTTAAGGGTCGCTGACCTTTGACCTTCGCGTAACCTCAAGCAGTTACATTTTGTCAACCTCCTCGGTTGACTTGCCGTTGCTTCGTTGTTATTTGCGGTTCGATACAGTGACGACTTGGCGAGAGGAAATGGATTTTGGGGCATGAAGTGGGCCCTAATGACCACAGGGTACTGAAGATTAGAGCACACATCCGGCATATCGTGAGGAGAAGGATTTGCGAGCAATGGGATGAGCATGGTATACGACGGGGTAGTGTAGCCCAGGGCACACATATATAGCACATACGTATATCTGCAGTGTGTACACCAAAACACTTGTAACAGCGACAGAAGGAGCTAACACGAGGAGAAGGATTTGCGAGGCGTGAAGTGGGCCCTGACAAACAGGGTAGTGTACTGGTAGCCCCCCCCTCACCTACACCCCCCCTGGCGCCCATTGCACCTCGTTCCACGCTAAGCCACTTTCAAGAGTTGTAACGAGAGGAGGAGGACTTGCGAGGCATGAAGTGGGTCCTAATGACCACAGGGTATTGGAGCCCAGGGCACACATACACTGATAGAAGTATTGTTTTGCGACGTCTCACAAACAACTAATGACCACAGGGTATTGGAGCCCAGGGCACACATACACTGATAGAAGTGTTGTTTTGAGACGTCTCACAAACAACTAATGACCTCAGGGTATTGGAGCCCAGGGCACACATACACTGATAGAAGTGTTGTTTTGAGACGTCTCAAAAACAACTAATGACCACAGGGTATTGGAGCCCAGGGCACACATACACTGATAGAAGTGTTGTTTTGAGACGTCTCACAAACAACTAATGACCACAGGGTATTGGAGCCCAGGGCACACATACACTGATAGAAGTGTTGTTTTGAGACGTCTCACAAACAACTAATGACCTCAGGGTATTGGAGCCCAAGGCACACATACACTGATAGAAGTGTTGTTTTGAGACGTCTCACAAACAACTAATGACCACAGGGTATTGGAGCCCAGGGCACACATTCACTGATAGAAGTGTTGTTTTGAGACGTCTCACAAACAACTAATGACCACAGGGTATTGGAGCCCAGGGCACACATACACTGATGGAAGTGTTGTTTTGAGACGTCTCACAAACAACTAATGACCACAGGGTATTGGAGCCCAGGGCACACATACACTGATAGAAGTGTTGTTTTGAGACGTCTCACAAACAACTAATGACCACAGGGTATTGGAGCCCAGGGCACACATACACTGATAGAAGTGTTTTTTTGAGACGTCTCACAAACAACTAATGACCACAGGGTATTGGAGCCCAGGGCACACATACACTGATAGAAGTGTTGTTTTGAGACGTCTCACAAACAACTAATGACCTCAGGGTATTGGAGCCCAGGGCACAGATACACTGATAGAAGTGTTGTTTTGCGACGTCTCACAAACAACTAATGACCACAGGGTATTGGAGCCCAGGGCACACATACACTGATAGAAGTGTTGTTTTGAGACGTCTCACAAACAACTAATGACCACAGGGTATTGGAGCCCAGGGCACACATACACTGATAGAAGTGTTGTTTTGAGACGTCTCACAAACAACTAATGACCTCAGGGTATTGGAGCCCAGGGCACACATACACTGATAGAAGTGTTGTTTTGCGACGTCTCACAAACAACTAATGACCACAGGGTATTGGAGCCCAGGGCACACATACACTGATAGAAGTGTTGTTTTGAGACGTCTCACAAACAACTAATGACCACAGGGTATTGGAGCCCAGGGCACACATACACTGATAGAAGTGTTGTTTTGAGACGTCTCACAAACAACTAATGACCACAGGGTATTGGAGCCCAGGGCACACATACACTGATAGAAGTGTTGTTTTGAGACGTCTCACAAACAACTAATGACCACAGGGTATTGGAGCCCAGGGCACACATACACTGATAGAAGTGTTGTTTTGAGACGTCTCACAAACAACTAATGACCTCAGGGTATTGGAGCCCAGGGCACACATACACTGATAGAAGTGTTGTTTTGCGACGTCTCACAAACAACTAATGACCACAGGGTATTGGAGCCCAGGGCACACATACACTGATAGAAGTGTTGTTTTGAGACGTCTCACAAACAACTAATGACCACAGGGTATTGGAGCCCAGGGCACACATACACTGATAGAAGTGTTGTTTTGAGACGTCTCACAAACAACTAATGACCACAGGGTATTGGAGCCCAGGGCACACATACACTGATAGAAGTGTTGTTTTGAGACGTCTCACAAACAACTAATGACCACAGGGTATTGGAGCCCAGGGCACACATACACTGATAGAAGTGTTGTTTTGAGACGTCTCACAAACAACTAATGACCTCAGGGTATTGGAGCCCAGGGCACACATACACTGATAGAAGTGTTGTTTTGCGACGTCTCACAAACAACTAATGACCACAGGGTATTGGAGCCCAGGGAACACATACACTGATAGAAGTGTTGTTTTGAGACGTCTCACAAACAACTAATGACCACAGGTATTGGAGCCTAGGGCACACATACACTGATAGAAGTGTTGTTTTGAGACGTCTCACAAACAACTAATGACCACAGGGTATTGGAGCCCAGGGCACACGTACACTGATAGAAGTGTTGTTTTGAGACGTCTCACAAACAACTAATGACCACAGGGTATTGGAGCCCAGGGCACACATACACTGATAGAAGTGTTGTTTTGAGACGTCTCACAAACAACTAATGACCACAGGGTATTGGAGCCCAGGGCACACATACACTGATAGAAGTGTTGTTTTGAGACGTCTCACAAACAACTAATGACCACAGGGTATTGGAGCCCAGGGCACACATACACTGCGAGGACATCAAAATACCATGTAACAGCGACCGAAGGAGCTAATGCGAGGAGAATGATTTGCGGGGCATGAAGTGGGCCCTAACGACGGGGTAGTGCAGCCCCCTCACCCACACCCCCCCTGGCGCCCACTGCACCTCGTCCCATGCTAGGCTGGACTCGAGGATCTGAAACATGAGAGGGACGGCACAGGAAGGGAAGGACAATGTCAAATGGGTGATTGCCATGCGGTTACCAGGCGCACCCACACTCCCCCTGGCGCCCAGTGCACCTCGTCCCATGCCAGGCTAGACTCAAGGATCTGAAACAGATGAAGGTTGTACAGGAAGAGCAAGAGCAAGGGCAGATGGGGGACACAGCAGCCCCCAGATGCATCCACACACCCCTCTAGATGCCCACTGCACCTCGTCCCGCGCCAGACCACTTTCGAGGATCTGAAACAGGAGAAGGAATGTGGGAAGAGCAAGAACCAGGGCAGATGAGAGGCCACGCAGCCCCCAGATGCCCTTTGAGGCGCCTCAGAACAGAAGGCACCCTTGAGGACCTGAAACAGACCAAGGGGGTAAGAGCAAGAGAGCAAGAGAGCAAGAGAGCAAGAGCGCAAGAGCAAGAGCAACGGCAGATGAGTGAGGAGAGTTGGTCGAGAGGAGAGGCGGAACACACTGAATCCATCGGTACGTGTCTCTCGGCCCCTTGCCCTTCCCATGCACTTGGGCTGATACACTTTGAGGCAGAACCCACTGGCTCCAAGGAGTGGTGCTGCTGGTGCCATAATTTCTAGAGGCGTACCTTGGTGAAGGCAGCAGGGTGAGGGCAGCCGTGGGAACGGAGTTGGTCGAGAGGGAGAGGAGGAACACACTGGGTCCAGCGATACGTGTCTCTCGGCCCCTTGCCCTTCCCATGCACTTGGGCCGACGCACTTTGATTGAGGCACAACAAGCTGGGACTCTAAGGGCTTGGTGAAGGCGGCAGGGAGAGGGCAGCCGTGGGAGCGAAGCTGGTCAAGAGGGAGGGGCGGAACGCACTGGGTCCACCGGTACGTGTCTCTCGACCCCTTTCCTTTCCCATGCACGTGGACCAACGCACTCTGAGGCAGCAGAGCCCACTGAGACCTTAAAGGGCGTACCTTGGTGAAAGCGGTGGGAAGAGGGCAGCCGTGGGAGCGGAGTTGATCAAGAGGGAGAGGAGGAACGCACTGGGTCCATTGGTACGTGTCTCTCGGCCCCTTTCCCTTCCCATGCATGTGCGCTAACGCAATCTGAGGCAGCACCCACTGGGTTTCAGAAGTGGTGCTGGTGGTGCTTAGGACCCCGGGAGGAGAGGAGAAGAGAGAGAAGGGTCGTTTCGGGCCACTCAGACTGCCCCCTGCTGCTGTTCCTGCTGCTGAAGAGGGGGCAGCAGAGGTGCTGTTTGTGTTGGGAGAGTTAGCGTTTGCAGCATCAGCTGCTGCAGTGCTGCTCTTGTGTGCCTTGGAAGGGGGGTGAGCTGGTGCTTCTGGGTGCTCTTTCCCTTCCCCGTCTGCTGCTTTGCTCTCTGACCCTCCCTCCCCTTGCTTCTACTTCGCTCCCTTATCAGACCCCTCGGCTCCCTCTCCCTCCTCTGCTACCCCCTTCTCTCTTTCGTTCCTCTCTCCTAGTCCCCCACCTTGCCCCTCTTGGTCACCTCCAGCATCTACCCCTCCCTCCCTCACCACACCAGCAGCACCAGCATCCGCAGCAGCACCACCATCACCAGCAGCAACAGCAGCCCCATCAGCCTTGGCATTAGCAGCATCAAGTGGCATAGTGTGGGCTTGCATCTGCTGCTGCTGCTGGGCTTGGGAAAGCGCTATAGAGTAGAAGACCTTGCGTGCTGACACAGGCTCGTAGCTCAACTCAAACCTGCAAGGGTGTGGAGAGGAGGCAGGGGAGGGAGCGTGTGAGTGTGCATGTGGGTTACAGCAGCAGTGAGGAGCTGTGTTTGCTGCTGCTGCTGCTGCTGGGCCTGGGAAAGTGCTACAGAGTAGATTACCTTGCTAGCGGATACAGGCTCGTAGCTCAACTCAAACATGCAAGGGTGTGGAGTGGAGAGGAGGCAGTGGAGGGAGAGTGTGAGTGTGTATGCGGATAAGGGTAGCAATGTGGAGCTGTGTCTGCTGCTGCTGCTGCTACTGCTGCTGCAGATTAGGGGAGAGAGAGTGTGAGTGTGCATGCAGAGCTGTGTCTGCTGCTGCTGCTGCTGCTGGGCCTGGAAATTCGCTACAGATTGAAAGATCTTGTGAGCCGACACGGGCTCTTAGCTCAACTAAAACTGAGAGGTTGGGGCGAGGAAAGGAAGGGGTTTTGAGATGTGAGATGTGGGATACACGATCGCTTGGAGTTGCTGATATGTACTGACGCCACGTGAAATGAGGGTGTTTTTGAGGCGTCTCAACAGAAACACCCTCATTTCAGGAGGGGTTGTGAGATGTGAGAAGTGAGATGTGAGACGTGGGAAACACGATTGACTGGAGTTGCTGATGTGTACTGCTGAGGCCGCTAATTGAAAAAGGCGCCTCGAAAACCACGACGGCTACCTCTAAGGCGCTTCAGATCGAAACTGTCCTTCTCTCCCTCATTTGTGCGTGGCAGTTTCCAAATACAGCACTTGGGCCCACTTGAGCAAGTAAACTGAGGCTTCCTCTAAGGCACCCCATAATCCACCTATGAATGCCCTGCCCTCACCACTAGTCCATGCCCTGCCCTCACCACTACTCCATGCCCGGCTCTCACCTGTGCGTGGCTGTTTCCAGGTACAGCACTTCGGCCCGCTTGAGCCGTGCTGATGTGAACTGAGGTCGCTTCAACCTGTGGTCGGCAATGATAGCCATTGAATACTTGAGCCTGGTGGGTTGGGTTAGCAAGAAGGAATGGGGGAAAGGGGGAGAGAGAGGGGAAGTAGCTCTTTCAACTGAGGCCGCTTCAATCCGTGGTCGGCAATAAAGGCCATCAAAAACTTGAGCCTGGTGGGTTGGGTCGGGAGGTAGGGTGGAGAGAGAGGTAGGGTGGAGAGAGAGGGCAGGGATAGAAGCTCAGATCACTTGGGCCGCTTCAATTCAAAGTCTGCAGTTATCAACATCAAATACTTGAGCCTGATGGGTGGGTTAACACGAGGGGGGAAAACGAGGGAAAGGGGGAGAGAGAAGGCAAGGGAGGAGGCTCATTCCAGCGAGGCCGCTTCAGCCCGTGGTCTGCGATGATCGCGACGGAATACTTGAGCCTGATGGGTGGGTTGGGTTGGATTGGGTTGGGTCAGGCTGGGTTGGGTTGGATTGGGTTGGGTTGGGTTGGGTTGGGTTGGTACTGGGCCAACTTCGCTTCTTCCAGCAGTTCGTGAAGGTACACTCCTTCCTTGGTGGCTGAGCAATGTGCAATATATTCTGCTTCAGCTGAGGAAAGAGCGATTAGTTCCTGTTTGCTCGACTGCCACGAGATAGGCCCGATAGGATCAAGTCGGTAGATGTAGCCGGTGCGCGAGCGCCTGTTGTTGGTGTCGCCGGCGTGATCGGCGTCTACATAGCCGATTAGCTTAGGTGTCAGGGTTCCGTTTTTGTAGTAGGTCAGGCCGATCGTTGGTGTACTGACGAGGTAGTGAAGAGCGCGGTCGAGCTTGGCCATGTGATCTGCTTCAGGCTTCTTAAGGTAGGTGGCGAGTTGGCTCGCTGAGTACGATAGGTCTGGTTGGCAGGTGACGGCTGCGAAAAGTAAACATCCCAACTTTCGTTGATAGTCGCGTATGCCGGCGGGTTTGAGCAGAGAGGAGATTTCATTGCGATTTCCGTTAGTGTAGCGATAGGGCGTGGTGATGGCGGCTAGAGTTAGTCCGAAGCGCTTGGCGATGGTGTCGGCGTATTTCGCGGCGCTGAGATAGATGGCACTCTCTTCTTCTTGTATGTTGAGTCCCAGATACTGCGTGACGGTAGTCGAGACGGTGAGCGCGATATTCCTCTGTAGCTCCCCTTCGAACCAAGTTGTGATGCCGTCGGTCGAGCCGATGTAGAGTAAGTCGTCCACGTAGACGATGAGAAGGATGTAGTCACCACCTTTCGTAAGTCGGTACATTCCCTGATCGTGCGGTAATTGGCGTAATCCGATGCGTATTAGCCGGGTGTGAAGGTACTGCTGCCACAGTCTCGGAGCCTGTTTGATACCGTATAAGGACTTCAGCAGCTGACAGACTTGATAAGGATCTGCGTTTGAGCCGTGCGGTTGCTCGACGAAGATTTTTGCGTCGACGGGAGCGTACAGAAAGGTGTTGGCGACATCGATTTGTCGAAGTTTCTTTCGCTTCATGGCAGCTATCGCGAGGAGAATCCGCAGTGACGTGTGTCGGCTGACCGGCGTGAACGTTTTGGTGAAGTCTCGTCAGTGCTCTTGGTCGAAGCCGCGTATGACCCAGCGTATTTTAAATTTGTCGATGGTTCCATCTGCCTTTGTTTTCACACGAAAAACCCACTTCCCGGTGAGTATTGTCTTGTTGCGTGCCACTCCGATGAGTACGACCTTCCAGGTGTTGCGTTCTTCCAGCGCCTTTAACTCCTTGTCCATGGCTTCGCGCCATTTTTCCCTGTGTTCCCCCCCCAGAGCCTGCTGATGAGTTCCAGTATCTGCACTCCACTCTGTGTATAGCGGGGGAGATTTGCGTCCTCGGGATAAGGTGATTTATCTCCCGTTTCTGGATCAGGTAACAAGTTGGGGCCTACACGTTCCGAAACGTTGGTGTCGACTTGCTGGGGTGTAACGTAACCGTTGTCGGCGAAGTCGTAGTAGACTTCGGCATTGATGCTTTCGCGAGGGTTGTCGTCGTCCATGGGGACGTCCACCGAGCAGTACGGAAGAGGTCCGGCTTCCTCCAAGGCTCCGTCCATATTTTGCTCGTCCCAGTCGGCTTTGTCTGCTGCGGAGGCGAAGGCTCGGTCACCATGAAATCTGCCAGTGGGGTCTCGTTCTTCTTCCAGGTTGGCAAGGTATGTCGGGAAGGTGAGTCGTTTGTAGAAAATCACGTCACGTGCTGCTGCTGTTTCCTTCGAGTGGATGTAAATATCTTCCACGCGTTGTAGTGTTTTTCGATGCCCAGGTGTACTCCCCACTGTATGCGTTGAGAGAATCGGCCGGCTCGTGCAGTTGGGGGTCAGTACTGTACCATGCAGCCGAACACTCGCAACATTTTTGTGCTGCCCAATTTTCCTGTCCATAGCAGGTACGGTGATGCGTTGTTCGGGAGCGATGATGACGAGAGCAAGTTGTGCAGCATCACGGCATGGTCCATTGCTTCGGGCCACTGGTGGTTGGGTAGCCGCATGCCACGTAGCAGCTTGCGCATGGTGTTCTGAAGGGTCTTGTTCATTCCTTCTGCTACGCCTTGCTGTTGATGGGCGTAGGGAAGGGAGATGAGCCGTTTGATGCCTCTTTCTGCCAGGTAGTCCTTGAACCTCTGTGACTGATATTCCCCTCCCTCGTCTGACTGGAAGCTTTTCAGCTTTACTCCTAATTCCCGTTCTGCTACTGGAAGCCAGGCGACGAAAGCTTCGAAGGTCATGTCGCGACTCGGAAGGTTGAGATGCCAGACATATCGTGTGGCGGCGTCGATGAACGTCATGATGTAGTTGTAGGCTCCTTGTTTGGGTTCACGACTGTACAGTATGTCGCTGTACACTTTCTCCAGTGGTGCGTATGTTGGTGCGCTCGGGTTGTGGTGAGAGACGAACGGCTGATGCGGTAAGTCGGCTTCAGGGCAGGTAAAACACGTTCCGCGGACTCGTTGAAGTTCTTTGCCGTCGTGTAGAAGCAGTGAGTCTTTATCAAGAACACTTGCTCTTATCCTGTTGTTTAACGTTGTGTTGCTCGGGTGTCCCATCCTTGCATGCAAGATGTCTTCGCCAGCGCGATGTCCGGGTGAACGTCGGTACAGGTTGGAGCTGGAGTAGAAACCTACGGTGAAGTTTGTGCTTCTGTGGACTTCCCGTGGAGTGGGAGTCAGCTGTTGCGCAGGAGTCGGTGGTGTGTCGTCGATGAAGGCCGGTGCTATTGAAGAACCAGCGATTGGTGCCTGTGTTGTCTCTGCTGCTGCCGATGTTGTCTCTGCTACTGCCGTTGTTGTCTCTGCTGCTGCCGATGTTGTCTCTGCTACTGCCGATGGTGTTACTGCTGCTGTCGATATTGTTACTGCTGCTGCTGATGTTGTCTGGATTGTTGCTAATGCTCTCGTCCGTTCTGTTTCAGGTACAGTGTTCGAGTACCAGAAGCCGCCGAGACTGAAGTCGGGGTCGAGATCCGGGGGGTGTGTCCAGGAAGTGAAGTTGACGATTCCATCACTGTCGGCGGTGCCTTGATCTGGAACGAAGTCGAGGACGAAAACATTATTCTTCAGTATGGCCTTTCCGATGTACAGTCCACCTCTCCCGTTGTACAGCTTGAACTCCTGGGTGGTGCCGTCTGCTTCAAGATGGATTCCCTTCGCCATGAGTTGGCTGGCGCTCAGTAAGTTGTAGCCGAGTCCTTCTGCAATTAAGACTTTCGATATTTGCAGCATAACGTTAGTCTCTCGTGACTGAAGCTGAACTATCCCTTGTCGCCCTGTGCGCAGGTTCTGATTGTTGGCGACTGTGATGACGACTTCGCGCTGCAGTTGGTGTTTCTGTTGAACGAAGCGACCCGAGGAGCACATGTGCTGTCCGCAGCAGCTGTCCAAGAACCAGGTGTCTTTTCCGGACGGCTCGCTCTAGGCGATGGCTGCGTATGTCGAGTTCGGCTCCAAAGATTCGCGTCGAGGAGTACTTTTGTCGAGTAGTTCTTCTGGTGAGTAGTGTGGTTGTGATTCGGTGACGCAGGAGTCTGTTATCTTTGTCATGCAACTGACGATATTTCTTGTTCCTTGTGCAGGTTGCGTCGTTGATGTCGTTGAAGACTGCGTTTGATTGGTGGGATGCGCCTGTATGGAGGCCACCTGACTGCGGGAAGGTCGAAGTTGACGGTGCGGTGCCGTTGACTGCTGTCGATTTGGGCAGTGTGTGCGAGGGTGACCTGACGTTTTGCAGAGATGACAGAACGGAGGTACGAGATGTTGTGCTTGATACTTGTTCTGTCGGTTGTTGTTGTTGTTGTTGTTGTTGTTGTTGTTGTTGTTGTTGTAGCGTCGTTGAGTATGAAACGCGAACTCGGATGCTGATGCTCGTTTCATGTGACGTTCTTCATGCAGGTCCATGTCCTGCTGTTCAGCGTGGATTTTGACACAGAGTGCCGCTCCGGAGATCTTCCTGTGAGCTCGGAGAATAGCTCGAGTGGAGCGCCAGTGAGGACCGAGGCCTGTGATGACTACTGTGACGAAGGCTTCTTCGGAGATTGATCCGCCGCATCGAAGGAGTCTGTCGCGTAGTCCGCGACATCGGCTAACATACGCCATTCCCTTTTCGCCGGGTTTCATTTCCACTGTTTTCAGCTGTGCCATTAAATAACTCTGATTAACACCGTCTGTTGCTTGATACAGGTTCTTCAAGTGGCTATATGCGAGCTCGGCGGAGTTGCCGTATCCACGATAAGACCTGATGTTCTGGTGCTCATTCGGCGTTATGTTTCGTAGCATGATTGTGTACGCCATCAGTGACTGATATTTATAATGCTGTTTGTTGTACCGTGTTCCGTACGTTGGGTATGGCAGGGAACCGTCGAAGAATCCGAAGATTTGCGCGCCTTCCATCATCAGTTCGAACTCGAATGACCAGGTATAGAAGTCTTTGCCGTAGAATGGTCTTGATGTTTGTAGTTTTAGAACGTGCGCGAACTGCGATTGTACTTGAAGTGCGTCCAGTGTCTTCTCTTGTCCAGGTGAAGG